AACTAGCCTGTCAAGAGGATATGGATTATGTTTATGGAAGGAAACAGAGAGAGAGAGAGAGAGGATGCCACAGTGAGACCACTAGGTTTTATAATAGCTCATTTCTCATGCTGGGTTGAATGGTTTCACTTTGCATTGAGTTGATCTCCTGATGTATTGGTGACGTTATACACTCACATTATATACAATTTTCTTGTATTTCTGCCTCTTCTTAGTTGTAACTAAAGCCTTTTATTTCTAATGTCATTTTCACCTTTTCCTCTTATCATTCCATTTTGCATTATACCCCTCTTTCTGTTCCTCCTTTTCTCTTTCTTCCTCATCTTTTTCTTTTCTTAAACTAACCACTTTTCTCTGCCACCAAAGTGCACAATTTCATTGTAAGGTAACTGCTAGACCCTCTTTATGCATTATTGATATATTGGTAATAGAGGAATGCAGCAATGAGCATCTTTACACAGATGCAGAGTAGGAGACTGATGAACAGGCTATGATTTTTTTATCTCTTAGATTTTTATGTGTTCGTAGTACCTGAATCTTCATATATGTTTTGTTGTTTTCTTGATAATGAATCATGCTTAAATGGATTATGTAATTTGAAGAGGACCAATAAGCAGGGATGGCCCTTTGAGAATTTACTGCTTTTACATGTTTACTACACAAACAGGCAAGGAAAAAGGAGAAAAAAGGCAAATTCTTATTTGTGAATTATACACTGTGCATCCAGAGAGAGAAAGACTTACATATGGTATGGTACTAAACCACTGATTTTGTCACTTTGGTAGATTGTTTGTTTGAGCACATAAAATTTTTTCCTCCAGTTTCATCATTGCTTTAGGACCATATATCCCAAGTACCATCCAATATTGTATATTAATTTATTATTTACCTCAGTATATTGTATCAAATAGCATAATGGTATGATGGAGATTGAAAGGCATGTTTGATTCTTTCAGTAAGTTCTATCATGATGTATGCCTCTTGTTGCATTGAGGACATGTGATGCTCAGCACCAAGGTGTGTGTCAAAAATGTTGACACTAGTCATTTGGAGAGAAGTATATTACTTCCCTTTTGATAACTTCTATATTAATTGAAATTAATATACGTGAGGTTTTCTTTTTCCTCTTCCCTTCTTTATTGTCTTTCTCTTTGTAGGGTGATGCTTATGTAAAACAAATTAATAATTATCAGAATCAGTCATATGAAGATCTTGAATTACCTGACCATGTGATAATGATATAATATAAAACATTGGAGTACAAAATGAAGCAAATCATTTAAGAACCTCCACGTGAATTCTTTAGAGGTGTAAGCAGTTGATTTCTTAGAAAAAAAGAAAGCATGCAACTTTTTTAAAGTCCACTTGAGAATATACATGGTAATCCCTTTCAAACTGGCAACATCACTGATTGCATTGCATGTTGAGAGTCTGTATACTTTTACCATACAGAAGAGAAGAGGAAAATTGTTGAAGAAATACTTGTAGATGGAACATAAGAAGTCTTTGGTGGTTGTGGTTGGACAGGATGTATAACAAATCAGTTGTGTGAAAAGACTAAGACACAGAATTGTTGAAGAGGAAATGCCCATTACAAAAGGGGTTGCATCACCTCAGGTTACTGCCACTTATTGTCTACCTACTACTAATAGGCTTTTAGTACCTTTTTATACGGTTAAATATAGTACCCATGTTAAGTAAGTGAAAGAAGAAGTCCAAATGTAATTTTGAATAATGTGTTGCAGCATTTCCAGTTTTTCCTGCATAAGGGATTATTGACAGATCAGTGATGAACCTTTCCGTCAGAGTATACCTTTGGCAGTTTCCATAGACCATTATTTAATTTTATTTTTGGACTGTCTTCTGGTTATTCAGCTGGTTTTCTTTTTAAAAAGTAAGGCTACAAAGGCAGAGAATGCTGGTTGGTGTACACATAGTTTTTATATGGACAAAAGAGTGGAGATTCTAAATGAGACAGTTTATATATTTTTTGCACCAGTCTCTCATTTGCAGATGCAGTGCTGTAGATTAATATAGAGTCAATTTTGTAGCCTATATTTTGTCAGACCTTATGTTGTGTTATAGTGTGGTGCCAAAAGTAGAAAGCAAAGAGGGACTGCTGGAAAGTGATGAAGACAAGAAATCGTTTTCCTTGTTTTAATGATTGTACAGTCAAAGGAATTAAGAAAAAGAGTAGTCGGGTTGACTCACCTGGAGTGAATTTCTCATGTGATACTTTTTTTTCCACCTTTGGTTTTGTATTTCCAGGGCCTCTTTTCTCTCTGTGACAGATAAATGATAGCAGATCTAGTCCCAGCTAAGTAAAACCTTTGTTTAACAAGGATTGAAAATGTTTTACACAATTTTCTGATTACAGTCCCTCTTTTGCAATTTTGTAGAGCATCAAGCTCAGGTATGTCTTTTGTAGAACTGACACAGAACAGTGAATTTCCATCATAGGCAATTAGAACACTAAATTTCCAAAAATATCATATTTAAAGAGCATTTTCCTGTTTATTTGTTTATTTGTTTTATCTTGTGTTCCTATATCAGTCTTCAAAAAAATTTCCTTAGGGATGATCTCAAATTGGACATTAGACATCATTGGATTTCATGAAGCATTACCAAGTTAGTTGTATGTGACTTACTATGTGAATATGACATTTGTATTGTACTTACAAGTGGAGTATATATCACAGGTAAATTACATAGCTTCACAAGTGTATCCAAAACCATTCTTCAAAATATTTGTTTTTACAGACAATGAACAAGGTAATGGCATTTTCATGAATTTAAGTGGGAATAATTTTTGTGCTGCTCTCTTCTTTATAGTTTGAATTCAGACTCATATATATTATATCTATATCATTTTTCCATGTTACTTAACCCTTAGATGACAGTATTAGAAATCTTTTGAAGTCATAGATTCTGGTGATTTCTGGCAACCGTCCTGCCGTTGGGAACAGGAGTCCGCTACATGTAGTGGAACTTCCTGCTTGACGAGCTTCAGCGTGTCGCCACGTGTATAGCCGTATGCAGCAGATCAAGCAGTTTGTTATGACGGCTATGCACATGGCCTGGCAGTAACGGGTTAACAACATTTTATTTGTTATTTTAGTATTTTAAAAATTATTTTCATTATTGATCTAATACCCTGTATCATCTCTTACTGTAACTGATTATTCTCCTTCTCCTCCTTCCTCATTCTCATCCTCATCCTCATCTTCTTCCTCATCCTCAACCTATTCCTTCTCATCCTAATCCTCTTCTTCTCAGTTTAGTCCTCCTCCTCCTCCTCCTCATTTTTGTCCTCCTCCTCCTCCTCCTCTTCTTCTTCCTCTGTTTTGTCTTCCTCCTCCTCCTCTTTCTATTCCTTTTCCTTCTCCTCCTACACCTCCTACTCTTCCACCTCCTCCTCATTCTTCTTTTCTTGATTTCTCCCCCTACTCCACCTCTTCCTCCAGCAAATTTTTTTTTTTTTTATCATAGATGATTTTATGGACTTCCGTTTATTTCTTTTAAAATTTTCATATGGCCAACAAAAGCAAACACAAATGATGACTAACCACCAAAATCATGACTAGGTAATACTTTGTCTAATTCTGTTCAGCCACATTATTCTTGCTTTGGCTTTTGCATAAGAACTTATTTTTCAAGAAGCCTCTGTTCATGTAAGTATCCAGCTGAGGGAGGGATCTCATTTGCAAAATGTACCATGGAAGAAATTAATGTGATATGATCAAGGAAGCAACGTGTGGCTGGGCAGTATCACATGTTCTTTATTTTTCATCCATTATTCCCATGTATCCCTTGTCATTCATTGTTTTTCAATTAACATGGTTAGTTTTGTTAATTTTGTAATACTGCATGTCAGACACACAAAGATTGAAGAATTCTTTTTGTTCATATATTAATTTCAGTGTCTGATTATAGAATTTGATTATAAAAAATAAATAAATATGGTAAGCTGTAAAAGATAAACAGATGGGTAATTTCAATATTACAAATGATCATTATTTTGCCCTCAAAGTGGCCCACCATGTTTTTGCAACAATTTCATATTAATTGGATATCAAAGCTATTATGAATACTTACAGTTCAATCCATTATCTTGATAAGGCTTATTGTGTATTGGTATTAGCAGCTATCTGTAATTTATTTTTTATACCATAATTTATATTCCATAACTTTCATTTTTTTTTTTTTTTTTTTTTTTTTTTTTTTTTTTTTTTTTTGAAAGGGCAATATATTAACACACATGTCCAAGTTATTTAACAACATTACCATACATTTAAGGCTATAAAGCAAAGAATTCTCAAAGTTTGAAATTCAACAATCATTACGAGTGAAGCAGAGATGAAGTTCATTCTCTCCAGAACCTTAACCTAAAACATTATATAAAGAGCATTAGCTCCTCCTTGTTTTCCCTGTATCCAGTCTGTAAATAACATATCCCCTCTTTGGCTGCAAGTAAGTCAAAGTTTTCTTAGATATTTGAATGCATTGGATCAGCATAGTTATTGTGTTCTTCATAGTGAAGATGCTCCCTTGTGCATTGGCTACTCATGTGATAGTCTTTAACACAATGTAAGGTGATGCACTGGACTAACTTCTTATCCCAAAGGTGACGATACAGCTTATCCATGGCTTGGAGTGGCTTAGTGGATGGCGCGCGTAATTTTGACAGTTTGACTAGCCTCACTGGCAACAATTAGGAAGTGAGCAACTCACAGCTGACTGTGTAGTGACTTCCATAGTCTCCATTATTCTTCCCTCACCACAATAACCAGGTATTATAACAGCTGAATATGTGTATTGTGATATGATTTTGTATATTGTGTATGTATGAACGTGTGTTTGTGTTTGCATGTGTGCTTGTGTGTGTGTGTATGTGTGTGTACTAGTATGCATTTGAGTGTGTTCTTGCATGCTTGTGTATGTGCTTGGAATTCAGTGTATGGAATATATGAAGGATAAGAGAAAACCATAATGCCCAGTAATCAAATCTGTATAATTTCTTAGGTTCTTGGTATTGATACCTGAAATTGTGATGACAAAGAGGGACTTGGAAAATACAAACTAACATCACATATATGTATCGCTAAGTACTTTCAACAGCGGTACAGCTAGTGTGTCTCATGTGGAATGTCTTCTGTTGTGCACTCACTTCTTTTTTAGATACTATACTATTTATGATGTAAAATTTTGATGAATTTTGTGTGTTACATTTTCCTTGTAATTTGTATGATATGTAAATAGACTGTGTACTTTTGTAAAATCTTGTTTAATTTCCTTGCACTGAGCTTACAAGATGGAATGTGTAATGGTACACCTTCAAAGACATGTGAACTTCATTTATTTGGATATAACTACACATATATGCTCTATACTCACCCAGATTTTCCCTTGTGAATCTCAGCAGAATTATTATTGTGGCCTTCACTCTCATACTTACAATATTTTACAGAATTACAGTCCATTTGTTTCTAGCTGGTGTGACTCTTGATAATTAACCTGCCCCACATAAAGATTAATATTTCTTCTTTTCATTATACTTAAAATCAGGGAGTTATCGCACTGCATTCCAAGTTTCTTTTCATATACGATAAAATAAATACTAGCTGGATCAATCATAGATTATAATAAAATATTATGCATTAATAATTTTAACTTGCAGTTTTTAACTTGGAATATACCACGATATTATTATTAATGTTAGATGGCTTGTATTTAATGCCAAAAAATAAAGATTTCCTGAGTTGCAATATGCAGAGATGGCCAGTACTGACATATATATCAGTCAATACTTTTTTATTAGCATTGGTAAAAAAAATGGCATTTTAACTGAATGTTTGACTTTGAAAGTTAACTTATTTTGTCACAAAAGGTATTATTCAGCTATTAAGCATATTGAGCTTCCCAAGGGTGCTATATGTAAAAGAACAGAGAAGATCCCCCAATTTTGGCTAAGTCACTCATCTTGTTAACATTGTGAGGGTGAAATCTAGATGCATACACTACCATGGGGGTCCAGGGGGCTTAGCCCCTTCGCTAGGCATATATTTTACCGCGGGGGTCCAGGGGGCAGAGCCCCTGCCTAGGGAATATACCACGATGTTAGGTTAGGTTGGACGCTTCTTTTAACAACCACGGGGGTCTGTTTTACCCCATAATTTCCCTGATATACTTCATGTCCTCCCCTGCTATCGGGACCATCAAATCAAGATTGTTGATGGAGATGGTGATCATATCTCCTCAACGGTTCATTTGCACAAGGAATAATGTATATATCTGTGTGTGTGTGTGCGTGTGCGTGTGCGTGTGCATGTGCGTGTGCGTGCATGCATGCGTACGTGTGTGGTTGGTTAATGATTAAAATAAATGTGCTAGACATCAAAAGTCGAAGTATTGTGGCAAAAACGGTAAAAATCAGTTAGCTGATAGAACAAAATGTGTTAGAGGCCAAAAGTTGTATAACACTTTAGGATAATATGGAAGTAAAAAGGGCAAATAGAGTAAAGTGTGGATCTGTAAGAGGGTTATGGCAGTTAGATCAAATGGAGAGTATCAATGTGTCTGAGGAAGGAAAAGGAACATTGTAAGAGGGAAACTGCAAAGAACCATTATGAAGCAATCAATGGCTTATAAGGGTAGAAATGGATGTCAGAGAAGTATAAGTAGAATCCGGGGGATGAGGTAAGGGAACAGGGGAAGGTGATGAAGTATCAGAAAGAACATCAAGAGGGGAAGGATATGGAGGACACTTTGTGTCCTCTTGATCCTTCCCGTCACTTTGTGACGAGAGGGAGTCACATAAGCATGCAGGTGGGAGCAGTAAGGATAATGGGGAAAGAAAAGGGGATGGTGCACATAGAGAGCAGAAGGATGGGGTGTGCTGGAAGAGAGAGGGAGGAAGATGGATAAGGAGAACTTAAGGAGGAGGAGAATGGATATCAGCAATTACTTTGAATGTAGAGGAATAGAAATAGAGAGACTGGAGGGCAGATGAGACAGAGGAGCACTCTTTTAGGTCATGTATAGGAAGTCTGAGATGTCTTTAAGAATTTCTGAATGGGAGTTGGGGGGGGGGGGGTCTGAGAAACAAAGGTTTTCATATAAAGAAGAGAATAGGGGACAGATGTCTGTGGAGCAAAGAAGGAGGTATATGTAGGAGAAGAAAGGGTAGAACATTTTGGTTCTGATGTGACAGGTAGAGTGAGAAGGAGGAAGGATAAGCATTAAGCATTGATGGGGAAGAGGTTGATATAGTGGACAGACTAGGACACTCCACAACTACAAACTATCACTTATGGTGGCCTCTGGGAGGAATACTGCCACTGCTTCATAACCAGTCAAGCAAGCAGGTCATGAGCTTGGGCAGGAATAGGTTTAACAGGGAAGATAGTGCGTGGGCTTGGGACTCAGGCGGAACTCACTCACTCACTCTCTCTCTCTCTCTCTCTCTCTCTCTCTCTCTCTCTCTCTCTCTCTCTCTCTCTCTCTCTCTCTCTCTTTCTCTTTCTCTTTCTCTTTCTCTTTCTCTTTCTCTTTCTCTCTCTCTCTCTCTCTCTATCTATCTATCTATCTATCTATCTATCTATATATATATATATGTATGTATGTGTATATGTATTTATTTATTTATATATTCTTATATGTATATTTATTTTTATATATATATTATATATATATATATATATATATATATATATATATATATATATATATATATATATATATATATATATTATATATATATTATATATATATTATATATATATTATATATATTATATATATTATATATATGATAATAGTAATAATAAAAATAATGATGACAATGGTGATGAAGACAGTAAGAATAAGACTATTAATGACCATGATAATAATGATACTACTACTACTACTACTACTACTACTACTACTACTACTACTACTACTACTACTACTACTACTACTACTACTACTACTACTACTACTACTACTATTACTATTACTACTACTACTACCACTACTGCTACAAATGATAATGATAACGATATTAATGATATTAATAATGATAATAATAATAATGGTAAATAAAATAATAATAATAAAATAATGATATTAATTATCATTATTATCATTACTATTCCACATCCATTCATTCCACTACAGGACTTACGGCACTCTCACTTCATAATTGAGAAGTTATTTGGCAATGCCACCTTCCTAATCAACTGCGTCGCTTCCCCGCTGCACCTGTGTTCGCCTCTCCAACACGGTCAGATCGGGCCTGAGGCAGGAGGCGTAGCGCAAGCATTTTCCAACTATCAGTCCGCGTATTTATCTATTAATCTGTCTGTCTATAAACAGATAGATTGATAGATAAACAGACAGAATGACAGAGGCAGACAGGCAAAATAGATGTACATAGGATAGAAATGAAGAAAGTTGGAGTTGATAGATAGATAGACAATGGGTAGATATAGTTATAAATAGTTATAGATTGGGTATGTTTACGGGTTTATTGAAGAGAAGCATTCATCTGTTGTAGTTGGCACTAAAAAAAACAGAGTTTGCAATGCGGCATTTAGCAGTTGCAGGAAGCGCACGTGGGAATGCTTGCACCCGGCGCCTTCTGTCAGCTGACTGGAGGCGAGTGAGCTTTCAAAGGTTAATGAATATCATTACTTGACTTTGATCCTTTCATGGTTGTACTTTACGTGTCTATTCGTTTACAATACAGCATTCGATGGTGTAATTTATTTTATTGTATGCACGAGATAAGTGCAATATTTAGGATACACTCTCTATCACAAAAGATATTCAGAAAATGTAAGTCTTCAAAGCAAAACAGCACCAAAATGATCTCGCGATGTAGATACGTGAAGCAACACTATTTGGTGTAAAGAACTTCATAATTTTAATCAGTAAATGTATGCCTTCATGCCAAGTCCAACCATCTGTGACATCCATGCTTGGTGCTCCAACAAAGGCCAACGAACGCCCACTATAGATGTTCTGTGAAGGTAGAACTTGGAGACCTTCCTGGCAATTTACCATGAAATAGGGAGTTTGCATGGGGTAGGGCTCTTATCTTTGGCTGGATCACACAGTGCAGAGACCATAGTGTTACTCTGTTTGGTTTTATTATGAAAAGGGAAGTCTTCAAAAGATTTAGCACATTTTTGCTCTACTGATGAAAGGTGAAAATGACATGCAGATGAGTAATTTATGATGCTGTGACTTATTACTACAAATATCACACAAAAAAAAAGTCCAAATATATCATATTTTATCAAGATTCTCTAATGAATTAATTATATTTTACCTTTTTTGTATTTTATTTTTTTATAATTAATATGATGAGCTCACAAGAGTCAGTTACCAGAGTGTATTTCATGCACTTAGGCCCGAAGATCTCCGGTATGGAGTTAGCTTTCCTGTCGGCATGGTGGTGTGGATTTAGCCTAAATTATGTTCCTTGGCGTATTAGCGTAATGAAATGGAAAAAATCTTGGAGCATGCTTTTTCATCTTTCCTGCTTTTTCAAGCTTTTAAGATGAACACAATGCACTTACACATAGTTGTTTGTTTTATTCCTTTACAACACACGACGCCTCACTTCCATAGTTTTGTCTTGGAGTTTTTGAGACAATGTGATTGTACCTACAATCTACTTGGCTATAACTTGGCGTCATACTTTGTGAAAAATTATTCCTATCGGGAACATAAGCGTACACTTGATGAGGTATTGGCGTACCTCTGGCGTGAGTTTTACACAGAATGCCCCCAGGGTCAGTTATTGATCTAGGTTTTGAATCAATGAATATTCTCTCTTTTATAGGGTTTTAGACTAATTATGTGTATATTCCCTGGATCTTGTTTCTTTGAATCTTCTCTGTTGTCTGAAGGTTTTTCTCTGTTATTTATTAATTTGATCTCTGTTTCATATGATATTTATTATTCTTGATCTCTGTAAGAAGATTTTCATGTGTCTTAGTATGTAATATTTCTTAGCAGGAGGTTGATCTTCCCCAGTTATAAATAGAGAGATATTAGGATTAGTTATTTATCTTTTTTAATGCTTCTAATAATTTAGTTCTTTCAGAATGGAATCTTGGGCACTGTAATGTTAAGTGCTCAATTATTTCTTCTGTATGTTGACACCCTCTGCAATTTGGATTGGTTTCTAAATTTAGTCTGTGTAGGTATTTTTTCAGTCTTGTATGTGTAGTTAGTATCCTTGTAAGACATACATCTAATTTTCTGTTCCCTGATCAAGACCATGGTTGTG